TAATTTTTATTTATGAACAACGCATCCAAGCGATTAGGGAGACTTAATTAAATTAATTAGGGCCGTCTAATCATGGGGATGTGGTGTCAAATGCTGAATCAAACCACAAATTTAACTTAATTAATTAATTAATTATAATTAGGATGGATCAAATTAAGTGTAGGGACGACCCGACCTATTCTTTTATTTTTTTTTTTATTTACTATTATTATTATTTTTAATTAATTAATTAATTAATTAATTAATGTTAAGACAGTTTGGTAATGTAATTAAAACACATCACATGTAATTGCCCAACTTTGAGACCTTATTAATATTGACTCCACTCGAAAGTAATTAATATTTGGGTTTTATTTTTATAATATATATTTATTATCTTAAAATTACTAATTAATCCATGTGTCAGAAAATTATTGGTCAGGTTGCTATTTTTTATTTTATTTTATTTTTTGAATTTTATTTAGTTAGTTCGTTGGGAACTTGGGAGGATTTGACAAGTCTTTCGTTGGGTTCGAAGGGAACTCGGGTCGACCCGATTCTTCATCGGGTTTCCACTAGCTTTATGGTAAAGGAAGAAAGAGTGAATTTTAAAAAGTAATTTATAAGATAATGATTTAAAATATATTAATTTTAAAAGTATTATGCATAATTTAAATATGTTATTTTCTTTTCTTTTTTCTTAAGCTTTTATTATTGACCATATTTATTTTTTATCTATTGATTATGATTTTTTTTTTTTTTTTTGGTGTAAAAATGTTGATGAAAATTTAATACAATGGCTTAAACTACTATTAGACCTGAAAATTATACCATAATTGAGTGGAATCTCATTCTAATTTTCTATTGTGCGAACTAATTTGTATTATGATTAGGTCTGAGATTTCATACCTATGGTAGAGGGAAACGAAACATTTCTTATAAGAGTGTGAAAATCTCTCCCTAATAGACATGTTTTAAAACTGTGAGGCTAATGGTGATACGTAATGAGCTAAAGTGGACAATATTTGATAGCGGTGAACTTGAATTGTTACAAATGGTAGAAGAGCTAGACACTAGACGTTGGGCCTCCAAGGGAGTTTTCTTATAAGGGTGTAGTAACTTCTCTTTAGTAGATGTGTTTTAAAATCGTGAGACTGACGACGATACGTAATAAGCCAAAGTGGACAATATCTACTAACAGTGAGCTTGGATTGTTACAAATGGTATCAGAGCCAGACACTGGACGGTGTGCTAGTGATGACTTTGAGCTTCCCTAGGGTGTGAAAACCTCTTCTTAGTAGACGCGTTTTAAAACTGTGAAATTGACGTGAATGCATAACGACCCAGTGTGTTAGCGAGGACTTTGAGCCTCCTTAGGGTGTGAAAACATGTTCCTAGTAGACGCGTTTTAGAACAGTGAAACTGACGTGGATACATAACGATCCGGTGTGCTAGCGAGGACTTTAGGCCTCCCCAATATATAACGAGCCAAAATAGACAATATGTGCTAGTAGTGGACTTGGGTTGTGACATTAATTCTACAATAACATCGTTTTATTCGGTCTCGATGATTGATGTAGAAAGAAGCAAAGAATATGAGTAAGATTGGGAAGTTAGAATAAGTTAGAATAAATTGAAATTAGTAAGTTATACGTAATGAACTCATTCACAAGCACACAACCAAACCCTTTCAAACCAATCCTATATTACCTTTCCTTGTTTCTAACATTTTGCCTTAGCCAATTAAGGTTGACACTTCAAGCAACCAAAATAAAATAATAATAATAATAATAATAAACAAATAAAAAGCCCATTGTTACCCTTACATTGCATTCAACCCCTGGCTCACGAGTGGGCGGCTTTCAACCCCTCGTTGCCAATATATATTACACCATCTCCCACTCTCTCACTCCTCACTCCTCTCTCTCTCTCTCCTACTTTTCTCACTTCTTTACTTCCCAAGTTTTGATTTTGATTGCTTTCATGGAAACCCCAGAAGAGTTTATGGGATCTAACGATCAAATTCATATAATTCCGGTTCAACCCCACCGGAACAAACGTATGAAGCTTCTTTCCGGCGGTGCTGATGCTACTTCCTCCTCTTCTTGCGGCGGCGGAGGCGCCGGAGATGAGTTTGCTGCCTCTTCTTCTGTCTCCGACGAGGTTAGTACCGAGGAGGAGGAGGATATGGCCAATTGTTTGATTCTTTTGGCTCAAGGAGATACCCACCGCGGGCCGAGCCAAATTACAAACAAAAGGCTGAATTTTGAGAAGCCCAAAGCTGGATTTTATGTTTATGAGTGCAAGACTTGTAATCGGAGTTTCCCTTCTTTTCAAGCCCTCGGCGGGCATCGTGCCAGTCACAAAAAGCCTAAGCCGATCACCGCCGTGGAGGAATCAGAAGAGCAACAACAAGTCAACAAGGCCATCCCGATCGCCGCCGCCGCCTCCGCCGTCCAAATTCAGGTCAAGACAGAGACAACAACAAATTCCCAAACCCAAAAGTCGGGGAAAATTCACGAGTGTTCTATATGCGGATTGGAATTCAGTTCAGGACAAGCATTGGGAGGACACATGAGAAGACACAGAACAACCGCCGTGTCGACAAACACCGACCAACATGATCATAAGCGAAGGAACATTCTAGAGCTGGATCTGAACCTGCCGGCGCCGGAGGAGGATCTCCGGGAGACAAAGTTTCAATTTACGACAACCCCACAAACAATAGTGTTCGCAGCTCCAACACTTGTGGATTGTCACTATTGAAAAAACAGGATGAAATTCAAAGAAACCCCAATATGAAATCGTGTTTTAATTTAGCTTTTCATTTGATTATATACAGTGATTAAATATTCTTTGAAGCAATATATGAATATTTGGGTATCTATAACTATTGAAGCTGAATGAATCCAAATACTTTGAGTAAGAGCGGTTGGTTCGTTTGGTTGGTTTAGTGTTCTAATTTGGTTACCTTTCACCCACGAAAAGTGGTTCATTTTTGGGTATTTTTTTGATCTTCTCCTTCCAAGTTTCTTGCCGATCAAAACCTTTTAGAATTTTTATGGGAAATTTTAGTGAATTAGAACCTTTTAACACTAACCCATGATCTATTTTTTGTGGAAATTTTAGTAAATTAAAACCTTTTAACACTGACCCATAAAAAAAGATTGAATTTTTATGGAAAATTTGAGTGAATTACAAAAAGGCATTAATTTATTAAGTGAGAAAAGCAAGTAAAAGAAGGAAATTAGGAAGTGTGATGGGTAGGGTTTGGCAGCTCCACCACCACATCTCGACGTCCCATTGGATAGGTTCTTTCTTTCTATATGCTTTGCTTTGCTTTGCTTCTACATATGCCTCTCTTTCTCTCTCCTCTTTCTCTCTCTCCCTCTCTCTCTCTCTCTCATATTAAATGACAAGAAATACATGGATGTCAGGCTGAATGGATCCACCTGTCACTTTCTCTCTCTAAAACTGAGTTTGGGTTTTTCTCTTTCTTCGTGGGATTTTTCTATTTATTTTATTTTTAAAAAATTAAGAAAATAATACAGCTCAGTTTTAGTTTCTAACCCCTAACTGTTACATCTAAGCGAACTGACCAACTGTATATTATATCCCTTATTTTAGAAGCTTGATGCAGCGGTGGGTCCCATTGCTTCTCTGTGTGGGACCCACTCCCCCTATGTTCCCTACCACAACCATTGGGCTTGGATAAGTGGGCCTCCTCTCCGGTCCATTCCATCATTTGGGCCCACATTCTGTTTCCTTTTTTTTTTTTTTTTTTTTTTTTTTTTTTTCCTGGTCGTGCCTCACTCACCATGCATGTATAGGAGTACTAATGCTCGTAATCTTTTTCTTTTTCTTTTTCCATATCAATATTCTTTAATTTCTAATTTTTTTTTAAATGTTTATATGTGAGAAACCGCAAGTGTTGAGGTTACACGTGTGCCAATAAGCCAAATTAAAAATATATATAAAAAAAAATTACTTTATTGAGGCTGCACGTATTATTTGAATTTTTAATATGTATTATCAACTTGAGTATAATTTAATTAATTAAAATATGCACTATTATCTAATTCGTTCTACCAAATGTGAATTAAAAAACTATACACCTTCTTAGATTTTAATGCTAATTATTCTCATTAGTACGAGATGGATTAAAGAAATGTATATAAGTAAAATAAGATTTGAATTATTCGAAGTACGAAGTTAGGAAGGTTTAACACATACGAAAGAATGGTATAGTTTAGGGTGTGAAAATAAAAGAATTGAGGTTCATGGTTGGCACATGTTTGCATCAAGGTAAGCCATCTTGTCGCACATCAATTTTAGTACTTAGATTTTACAGAACATAAAGACACTATTTTGGAACATGATGTGATTTATGCATAAAATTAAAGCTGTAATTGGAAAAGGGTATAATTGGAATTTAGGTGTAAAATAAACATCAAGGACTGGACTGGGAACTGCTGCCTAATCCGACCGACAACTGCTGTGTTCTGTCGGCTAAGTGTACTTTGGTTTTAATTTGGACACGTTCTGCCAATATGCGAACACAAAAGCTTATATTTCAACTTTTTATTGTATACTTTTAAAAAGTGCTTATTTGTTACAAACAATATTAATTTTCTTTATATCCTTTTATAAAAGCCTAATCTAATAGAAATATTTTTTAGAATTTTATTGAACGTTCGGTTGCTGTGGTGTAGTGGTTATCACGTTAGTCTTACACACTAAAGGTCCCCAGTTCGATCCTGGGCAGCAACATTTCTAATCTATATTTTTTGAACATTCCTCATTCAGAGGGCGCCAAACGCTCAACCTTTCATAAGAAGCTCGAATATTTTGATATTTTGTAAGGTTATCGAATATTTTGTGTAAGGTGGAATTTATCATTCAGAGGGCGCCAAACGCTCAACCTTTTATAAGAAGCTCGAATATTTTGTAAGGTTATAACATTACATAAAAAATATTTATACAGTAACTTTTAAGTTTATGTTCTATACGTTTCGTTCATAAATTAGTAATTGTTAACTCGAGAAGTATGTCTATGTACTTTAGGAATGGTCTGGAATAACAAAAACCACTTCTTTGTGCAAGTTCGATGGTCGGGTCCGATGTCTCGGGAACCAGTGTCTGGCCTGTGGTGGAGGTGGCTTTGCTGGATCTATACTGACTTTCTGGAAGAACTGGATGATAAACCTTTCCTACATTAAGTTGAGCAAATTCATGCATTCTAAGGCATAAAATTGTCAGTAGACAATGATTTCATTTACTTACGCCATGTACAAGGGAAAGGCTAAGCCAGCAGATGCAAAGGCTATCAATCCAGTGGCAACGATAATATCTATCTGTGATCTGAATGCAAACCTACCGAATGAGTGAAAATATTCGGTTGGAAAAGTTATGGGCAGAACAATTCTAATGGTAATATGGGTGTAAGATCTCACATCGGTTGGAGAGGGAACGAAGCATTCCTTCTTAAGGCGTAGAAACCTCTTCCTAGCAAAAACAAGTTTTAAAACCTCGAGGGGAATCTTAAAAAAGAAAGCCCAAAGAGAACTATATCAGCTAGCGGTGGGTTTAAACTGTTATAAGTTGTATCAAAGCCAATCACCAAATGATGTGAGGCACTAGTCAAAGTAAAACTAGATCCTCTCTATAACATATGCGTTTTAAAATCAGCTATCATGCAACTGATTGACGATATGTAATGAATTAAAACGAAAAATATCCGCTAGCCGTAGTTGGAGAGGGAAACGAAAACATTCCTTACAGGGTATGAAAATCTCTCTCTAAGCATATTCGTTTTAAAACTTTAAAGGAAAACCTAGAAAGAAAAGTAAAAAAAAGAACGATATCTACTAACGGTGAACTTGAGCTATTACAACAAACAAACGGGTCTGGTGATGGTGACAAATCTTTTGGTTAAAGAAAGTGAAACAAAAAGGCCTCATACACATCGTGGAGCCAAAATTATAAGGCAGACAGCATATCTAACATGAAAGCACCCACCACCTTGAATTGAGTAGAGGAAGGAAATGCTCTCAGAAATCAAATCAAATGAAGGCTCAACAAAGTGGTATGTGTCGACAACGAGGTTACTTCTAGCGACTCTTTATGATGAACAATATTTCAATTCATACAAATATCTTCCAAAATTTCTTGGCGACAGTATGCTCATATTGGGAGACAAATGTATCAAATACTCTAAATTTGATAACATTATCAAAACAACAAAACAATGACAATATCACTTGTGTAATCATGCAGCATTCTCAGTTAATAACCAAGAAAGAAGAATAACAATCTACGCCTGGGGTATACAATTACAACCATTAGAGTAAATCAAATGTGTTCATAGAAACAAATGGCAAGACAAGCAATCGAATAAAAATCTGCAGATATGCATTCTAGAACGAATTTGGGACACTAAAAGAAAGGAAATGAAACGGAAGGTTGAATAAATAATTTAATTCTAAATTCGATGAAGTCCTTCCCGGTCCAAACATGATTTGAAAATTGAAATTACTCCAAGAATCCTCTTTCAATCATTCAATAACGAAGCATCAAATTGATTTAAAGTTATTCAAAATTCCGGACAACTAAACAGAGCATTCATCTTCTAACCTTAACCAGTCATTCACTCCCTCACCAAAACCGCCCAATCAAAATAACTCCCCAATCTAATCCCAATTTCGCATCCCCATGTCAACGCCCCGCCGCTCGCCGCCGCCGACCGGAAACCGCTCCTCTTCCGACGCCGCTCTCGAACCCCTAACCCAATCCCAGAAAAATCAACTTCAAGTCCATTTCACCGACGAAGACGAACTCGATCTTCTCAATTGCTACCTCGAAGTCGCCGGATCCAAGAATTCTCAGCCCACTCTCGACTCTCCGGCCTTGGACCTCATTGCGACCGCCCTCGGCCACAAATTCAGGCACTCCTACATCGCCGATAAGCTCCACAGGCTCAAGCTCCAGTACCACAAATTCGCAAGAACCAAGTCCTTCATCAAAACTCCCCACCACCTACGGATTCTGGAGATTGGGCGCAGCATCTGGGGAAAACCCCACATTCCCAGAACAAAACCGCAGGTAATTTCACGCAGAATTAGAGGAAGATCAGTTGCAAGGAAAAAGGGGGTTGATCTGAAGAACTTTCCTGTTCTTGTGAGTGAATTTTCCCGGCAGTTCCCGGGAAATGGAGTGTGGAGAGAGGGGCTGAAGGGAATGGAGGAGTGGAGTTTGAAGGGTATGAATGAGAAGTGGGTTCTGTTGCATATTGAAGAGGCAGAGCTTAAGGCAAGAAGGGCTGCGCTAATACAGCGGCAAATTGGAACAACACTAACTAAAGATTGATTTCTCTTACAATTTCTATTCTCTTTTGGGAACAACAAAGTTCTGTAGCTAATGGCAGAAGTTAGAAACTTAGTAGGTGGTGGGTGCAGTTGTAGTGTATCGCTGTTAAGATCACGATGGTGGAGAGTTTCTCACCAATAAAGGATTCTATGTCAAGACATAGTAATGTTGTTCAATGCTTGAATTTTTATGATTAGTCAAAACAGGGAAACATTTACCTAATTCCAGGAAATCCAACTGTTTGAAATGGCTTCTAAATAAGGTGAAAGCCTGAATGTCCTATTTGAGACGAAGATGAGGATAAAATAAACACAAAAGCAGCAAGTAAATCAAGAACTGTAAGAGATCTAACCTTTTCAAGATTCAGAACATTGAGATTTATGTAAATCGTCCAAATCTCTTTGGCCTAAATCAATAACCAAGAGATTTAAAACAAAATTGACACCAAATCATAGATGTAAGTGGTAGAAAAATCTCACATTCCCTCCATATCAATGCAGGCTTGATGCTGAATTATACCAAAGAAGCAAATGAACCATGGGCTCTTACACTCCACAAGTTCTAATAAGCAAGCAGTTCATTAAAGTGATGCAAATTTTCAAGTCTGGATTTTGCAAAAAGAAAAGAAAAGGAGCAAGATAATGATTCATGGCCGCTAAAATCTAACTTTTGTTCCAGAAACAGTAAGATTGGGAAAGATGAAGCATATAAACAATTTACCTTAGCACAGAAAGTTAAGGACCAAGATCCATCAAACCCACATCTGGTTCTAAATCCATAGAATTGCAGAGTCAAGCAAAGATACAGAAGCATATATATATATGAGCCACCTCTACAACCATACAGAGTTCAGAGTAAACGTAGAAACTCCAGCATATTTTTTAGGCAGGACGATTGACCACAAATACCAGGAAAGTGCGCACGGTTTTCCATTTTAAAACCTTTATATTGACTGCTTTCTTTCTAGCCAGTAGCACTCCACATGATCAGTAAAATGAAACAATCATTTAGCAGCAAGCACGTTCTGTTGAGCGAGGTTCTCCTGCTGCTGTTGGTAGTTCAGGGGCCTCCGGAATAGCATGATATGCGGCTCAGGTCGATGAATAGCATAGTGCACCCACCCACGACTCTGCTGAACTCCAATTGCACGCCACTCATTCTGCACATAGGATTGATTATTTATAGGATTAGGAGTATTACAACATGCTTTCCAGTAAATGAGTACTCGAACAGATTTGGGAAGCACCCTTTTGTTTAGACCAATGATTAACTTATGTTCTCTAAGAAATTCAAGCAAATCAAAAGGAACTGACGGTATAATGAACGATATTCCTGTGCCTATGCTAATTGTAAAGTCCATTGCTCACTAGTTGCACACAGAGAATGCACGATTGAGAGGCCGGGATGGTTCTATCGCAACAGTCTTAAGCCCTGGATTATCAATCCTATTTGATATATCTATTATGCGAAATATACATAAACACCGTTTCAATTTTCAAAAATCATTAGCCAAATGAAGAGCGAAAATCAAGATCGCCATGAAAAGTTTAAAAGACTAGAAAACGATGGAACAAAAATTTCTTAGAGTGAAAGAGAGAGAATTCAGTCTAAACAAGGATGATGCATTTATTAATCCTGATTTAAGAATCCAACTATCGAATTCAATTTTTTTAAAAAAACAATCAGAGAATGCTTCCCTATTCAATAAAATCAATAGGCATAAATAAAGAATAAGACTAAATTGCTTACTTCCGAGAGAAGGCGATTCTTCGGAAGCAACTTTGCCACATCGGGTGGGAGCACCACATGCCTGTATCAATCAATACAGTTAGCCATTGAATACAAAGAACTAAACACTTCCAAACAATTCTCCAAGACGAGAAACTGAGAGTAAGAATCCAAGACCTATACTCGTAAGTATCATCGAAGTACTTCTCAGAGTACTGAATCTGACCCATCTACCAGAACTTAAGCTTCGGCTTCCCGAGAGAATTACAAAAACAGGTAGAGCGGAGATTCGACGGTTCCGATCCCCAAAATCAAAAGATATTTAAACAGAAAACTAGAACTGAACTAGGGTTGAAGACTGAGCAAAATGGCGCGTTATATACGATTGGAAGCATGAGCAATAAATTGCAAAGTCGGCCAATCGCTTGTGTCCACGTGTAACTCGATAAGGACTGGACAGCATGGAATACTTCTGCGGTGCAGCATTTTGCCACGTGTTTATTTTTCTTTAGGAAGAGTATCTATCTATTATTTTTTGAATAATCTTTTAGGAAAATAGTTCTCTAGTAAAGTAAATTGATAGGCAATAAATCACTATTTTAAAATTTCCAATAATTCTCTTAAAATATCAAAATTTTTAAAAAATACTCTCAAACTTTATAATATAATATCTATACTTTTAACCTATAAAAAATAAATTTAAAAACTTGTAACTGTTAATATAGTTTACTTCAATCTATGATCCAATATTTATTCATTTTCTATTATTCAATCTCTAAAATTTCTCAATATTTTTAATCTTTTATTAAATATCAAAACTTTTAAATTAAAAAAAAAAATGTACTTTATCATTTCTAAGCATCTTCAAACATTAAAAAAAAAAAAAAAAAAACTGAAATCCAGAAGAGAATGGCTTCTTCTGACAATTTTGGAAAGCTTCGTTGAAAACTTTCCATGTCTTCGTTCTTCATTCTTTCTGTACACTAAACCAAAAAATGTAACCCTATGATATTCCTCAGGGTTATATGACCTTTTTCTCTGTACAGTGTACACCCACCAACAAAGGAAAGGAAAGGAAATGAATTTAATGGCGTTCCTTCTTCTTCTACGTTTCTTCAGCCCTCTGGGTTTGGTGCTGGTGCTGGTGCTGGTGCAGTGCTAATAACACGATACTGCGGCACCGCCTTCTGCAGCACTGACGTCCCTTGGAAGATCATCATCTGGTAATGTCTCTTGTACTCCATTACCTCTTCCGGCGCCAACTTGGTGAACCCAAACTTGTTAATCCACAACGACTCCGCTTCGTCTGCGGCTGGCAGAACCAGATTCTTCACTTTCAGATACCCTAACAACCTCTCAATGCACGAATACAAGGATTGGAAGTACCCCTGAAAATACCCTCTTCCTTCTTTATGTGTACTTTTCTCCTATCAAAACCGGATTCAAAACAGAGCTGATTGTGTTTGTTACTTACCTGTCCTTGAAAGTTGGTGTCTGTTGCCACTAAAGGAAGCTCCGCTACTTCACTCCCAAATATCCGAAATATTCCCGCCGACACAACACATTCACTACAAGAAACAAACAAAAAAAAAATACTAATTTCAAGTCCTAAGTTCCAACAATAAAACTCTCTACCTTCAAAGACTTCTTCTTACTTCACAGTTAGAACTGCACAGTATATCCCACCGAACTCTTGGCCCCTGATGTTCCTCCTGCCCAGCAAATACAAGTTCATAGCATTACTCTCAACACCCACTAATCATTTCATTGGGGGAATGAAAACAAAAGGAGAAGAATCGTTGTTTACCCATAAAGCATTGACGGAATGAAGTCTCTCCCAGAGGCGGAGTCAACTATGGGGTCAAAACAATACTGGATTTACAAAATTTGGAATAGTTGGCAAGCGGTAGTAGAAAAGCACAATGCACTCAGAATGATATTATTTGGTCACTATGGTCACTCACATGGAAAATAGAAACGGCCTTTGAAAGCAATGATCTAGTTTCATCAGAAGATGACATTTTCCAGTTTAGGACCCGCCATCTAATTTCAAGGTTGTTTATGCTTCCTGGACCCTTGTCGTCTATCTTTTTTCGTACCGAGACCAGAATAGACTCGGGCAGCTTCTCTCCTCCCAAAAACACCAGTTTCACCAGTGCAGCGTGTATCATGTTACACCCTGGACAACAGAACCACTTTCCTTGGGGGAGTTCCTGCGAGAATATCGAGATTTTAAACATTCGAAATTTATCGCTTGCTCACAAGAACTCTGGCAGATAAAGATGGTGTAGGGCGACACCTTGAGATCTTCCATGTTGTGTTCCTTTAAGCAGCCAACGTGAAACTCCTTCTCACACTGAGAAAATATTGGGGCATTAGGTACTTTAGGACTAAGAGAATAGTGGTAAAGGAAGATCAGATAAATTAACCTTATAAGAATAATACCTGATCACAAAGAATAACGGTTCGAGGACCGAAACCTAACTTGCTAAAGTCATGGCAACTACAACAGTTGAGAGGTCCATTATGAACTCTTGAAGAAACATTAGAAGGAAAAACCCAACATAGAACAAAAATATTGAGCAGAATGTGAAAAATGAGGTTGTGCTTTCAAGAAAGAAGAAACAAAAACCTGCATAATGCACATCCACCAACTTCCACCTCCAAAGTTTTGACAATGCGAATGCATCTCGTTGTTATCTGCTTAATAGGATCAACACCAGCAACCCTTCCAGCGGCAACAGCATTTGCATTGTGCTCCACAAATTTTTCCTTTTGGAACAAATTCTGGCAATATTTGCAGTACCAGGTACCGGTCATGATGCATGGTAAAGGAACACAATCTGAATTGGCCAAGAAAAAATGTCAAATAGTGGACAAATGGGGAATATCTGTATTCTACAGTACAGTGTAGTGATGAATAAATCCAGTGCAGTATGTGATCATCATGATATATTTATGAATTGATGTTTAGAACAAGTTACTAATCGACAAATCTTTCAACATAGGCCTCGAAAGAGAGAATTTTCAAAATTATGTGGAAAAACTAACACAAAGATGGGACATTTTCAACGGGAAGTGAAATCACCTCTATGAAAAGCCCTGGGGCAGCCATCACAACACAAGAGATCCCCTCCATCTGCGCAAATGCTACACAAGTCATCAGTATCATTGGAAGAGAACTTTCGTCCTTTTGATAGAGATATGGACAACTCATGTAGAGACACCCCATTTGATGTGTAAATGTGCAAATATCTGCAAGGGAGAGTTACACTAATCAAAGTCGAAACAAAACCAATTCTATCAACTAAAGTCTAATACATTACAAACAAAGTTTCACTTCTGTCAAAACTCCACAACAATCTGTCTAGATTTCATTCACACGAAGGCAGAAACTTACCATTAGTATAAGCTGAGTAAGATAAAATAATTACTTGAAAACATAGACATTGGCAACTCTTTCCACATTCTTGATTCTCATTTTTATGAAACGTTCCCAAAATCATATACAAATTTTGGAAACAACGAAATCTAGTTTCTTGTTCTCATTCAATTTTTTCAAAAAGATAAATAACTTATTTGATCAGTCTATAAAAATAACATAGAATATTTAAACAGATAACAAGAAACAAGAAAGAGTTACTATAAACAATTACCAAAAACATTTTTGTTTTCCTCCTATCAGAAAGAGAGAGAAATAGAAATAAGAAAAGTTAACATTACCAAACGCTCCAATATAAACATGATTTTGTGTTTGAATTTTTTATAAAAAAAAAATCATATCAAGGATAAAGTATATCAAAATGAATAAAGCAAGTACTCACGGCTTGCGCCTTGATGCCCAGCCAGCATGAGCTTCAAATTGTGAGGGACTAACCTGCTCATTAGGCAAAAGTCAAATTAAAACTCCACCAAATCTTCAAGATCATAAATGCTTCAGCAAAATAATACTACCTCAGAATTGCAGCAGCTACAAAAAATACTAAATCCCTTTTTATACCCAACCAACAATTTCTGCAACAACAAATAAGATGAATAAAATATAGTATATAGAACATGAAAATTAGTAAGAACATTGCTTGTCTATGATTAAAAGGAAAAAGAAAAAGACCTGCCCACGGGCATAGTATGCAACTTCAGTTCCATCGGGTAATATATCTTCGTCAAACACTAACTTATGCAGCCGTAGATCCCTGTTAGAAGGATATCAGATAATGCTCATGAAATAAACTATAATAAATTTATTTAAAGAAAAGGAAAATGATGAAAAAGAGGTGGTTAGAACATATCCACATAAGCAGAGTGGCACAAGAAGTTTATAAAAGGTCCAAACACTCACTTTCGAGTTAATCTTCCATGACTTTTACCACGAGTGGAACCACTCTTAGATGCAGTATCAGATGACTTCGGAAGTAAATTTGGATTTGGAGTGCTGCAACAAACCGGCATAAGAAAAATACACTTTCAAAATCTGTGGGAGCAAGATGCAACAATAGTCGTCTGAGATATGCTACATTTTCTAAACTTGAATTTCAATTCCAAGTAGTAATAACAGTGAGTGAAATGATCCACCCAATGTTCTTATCTAGATAAGGATGGTAAATCCATCCCTAGAACTACATGCAACAAGTTATGTGCTAAAGGGATTTGGAAGTCATCGAGACATAGGAAATCTGTCGATTTACATCAAGTCTTAGCAAACCGACAATTTTAGCTTGAAAGTGTAATCAGAGGTAATAGTAATATCGAAGTATAGCAGAGTTTTGCCATGATACTTGTACAATGAAAGACTATGCTATACAAATGACAGGCTACACTGAGTTTCTATTCAAAGTTCAAGAACTAAAATAGAACCCTTAAAACTTTAAAGAGTGAAGCAAAATAAGCATGAAAGTTGATGGACTAAAATAATATTTCAACCTACAAACTTTTTCATATATAAAATTATTATTTGTTCATGGTGTGCTTAACACAACAAAAAAAAAATCTCATTAAGGAAAGCTAAGCATTACAAAACCCCACAGAAGATTTTTTTCATATTGTTCTCACTAAATGGAAAAAACGTCATGATCAGTAATCACACCTTTCGTTACTAAATACTATGGGAATGGGGCTACTCTCATGAGGCTTCTTCGAATCCATGCATGAACAGCAAAGAAACATGGCAATTCCGGGGTCTGATTCTGGAATACGGCCTATAACATAATGGGTTAAATATATAATCGTCAGTCTGTTGGGTATAGCAACAAAGCAGAGGAATGGTAAGACAAGCTAACCAGACATAAAAGCAACCTTTGCAACTCAGGCAGATAGAAGATCTCTTTACCAAGGAACAACCAATTGCACTTCGGATGAATTCTTCTGTCTGGTCGA